GAGCAGAGCTCATTAGCATTTAAAGGGACATGCCCCGAAACGAGCCGCCGTGAACAGAGCAAGGTAAAAAGGGTGTTGTTTTACATGACCACTGAGGAATTTTAACCAAAGTATGTTGCAGACCTTTCATGAAAACCCTAAAGAATCATACCAACTTATGGAAGATGGGCATCCAATGTCCCCTTTGAAGCACAGCCCCCACAAAAACAGACTTACTTCGAGATCATTCTGAGGTTAAATACATATTTAAAATCATAACAAGAAATATTTTATTAGCAATGATACTGTTTTTGAAATCAAATCTTTGCATAGCTATGATAGGAAACACTGTCTGGAATCTAACAGTGCCTTGGAAAAAAACAGTTCATCTTAAAAAATTAAACACAGCTATACATAAATCCATATTGAAAATAAAAGAGTTTTCGAATAAGCATGTTCTAAACTCCTGAAACATTGGGGTTTCATATTTCATAGCACTCACTGCAAAAGTGAAAGAAAGAAATCAATTAAATCTGTATGTGGGAGTGTGTGAACAAATCAGATGTTACCCCCTTTGTAATCCTTAACGTTTTCATAAGTAACTGTAATTTAATTACACATTTTTTCTCAGTAACTGTAACTGATTTCAATTACTTTTATTTTGTAATTAAATTACATAATTCCGTTACATGTAACTAGTTACTTCCCAGCACTGAACATTGCATATGGCTGACAATTGTTTTATTAATGTTTTTCTCATTCATCCAAATCCCAACTCACCATTTACTATGTTGGTCACATTGTACATTGATGCTGGTCTTGGCGTCTGATACCGTAACTTTACTAACTTTATTAGTAACTTTATTTGTTTGTTTTTAGAGCACTTCCACTAGCAACATGCTAACCAGAATTTCCGGTCAAGCAGAGAGTGTGTGTGCACAGTTTGAACGTCAAAGCCAAAGTAAAAGTAAAAAGATATGTGAGAAGCAGTGTTGCCAACTAAGTTTCAGGGGAAGTTGCTAAAGGAAGGTTGATTTGTTGCTAAAAGTAGCTAAATGATGTTGTGATGTCGCCAACATGACGCAAAATTGTCAAATCTCAGCAAAAACATATATTTTTATATGTTCATTTAGATTTGTTCGTAATAATATAAATGCATAATATAATATTAAAATATAAAAAACAATTTTTAAATACTCTGAATTATCGAAAGCTTACACATTTTTGAACGATTACAATTTAAGTTTTTATTATTATTATTATTAGCTAGTAAACAATTAAAACTACAAATTCTGAACAATTACACTTTTAAGCAGTGTATTGGTAGTTAGTTAGTATGCTACACTCTAAGAAAAGTCTGCCAAAAAAATAGTGCACAATCTGTGCACAACATTTTGTTTTTTCTGTATTGATTTTTCCACAGGTTCTTTTTTTACCTGCATTTTTAATTACACATTTATAACGGATAATGTCCTGGAAAATTACTAGCACCTTTTCCATTTTTCTACATATTGTTTTTACAGTGCACTAACAGTTAGTACACTGTAAGAAAAATATGTAAAAAAAAATGGAAAAACAACCTGCGATTGTTGATGAGTCAGTAACTAACTCATCAACAATCACAGGTACAAGCTACTAACAAAGTGTCTCATAAATTAACAATAACAGTATTCAATTATGAAATTATTATTATTACTATTAAATTAAACAATTGCAAATAGCAGCTAACTTAATTCCTGTGATGTGTGTACTGCTAAGCATCTTTGGATTTTCTCTTTTTGTGTAATTTAAATGGTAAATTGTGCCTTTTTATTGTTTGAGTCACTTATCAAAAGTTGCTAAAAGTTGCCAAATTAATTTTAAAAATAGCTAAATATGTTGCTAGGTGCTTTTGGAAGAAAAAGTTGCTAGGGTAGTCTGAAAAGTTGCTAAATTTATCAACAAAATTGCTAAGTTGGCAACACTGGTGAGAAGAACTTGAGCGTTTGAAACGCAATAGCCTGCAAACCTATTGAAATCCTACATCGAAATCCAAGGGAACACACTATATATCTGTGTTAGATTAAAAGTTTCTGTGAGTGTAGGCCTACTAGACGTGGTGGTTTAAAAAACAACAGGAATTTAGTAACATCTGTGATATTTTTAGCTGTCCTTTTAGCTGATTAACCTCACAACTACCTCCTTTGCCATCTGGCAGAACTCCTGCTTGTTCATAAATAAATAGCAGTTCTGTTTAGCCACTTTCATGCAAGTGAGGAGAAATACAAAGAATTCCACATAAATAGGCCTACTTCCCTTACCATTCCTGCCACAGAAAGATATTCTAAAAATAGTAGGAGTATAGGCTATGCTAGTAGGCCTATGCAGTTGCGAAGTAATGGAAAAGTCCTCTCTGAAGTTTTTGCTGCTCCATTCAAATCATGGGCTCATGTTCTTACCTTGGGCATAGATGTGAAGTATAGTAACTTCAGACACCTTGCAATCTTTTGATATATCAGTATGCAGAATAATCAAATCAATGTATTTGTCAGGTAAGAAAGTTTAATGCCAATTACACAAACTTAAAAATTAAAGAACAGTGTAAACCAATTCACAAAACCACCAATTTATCAACGAGAAGGGAATCCTTTTAGTGGAATGTAAAAATAGATGCATTTCATTGCACAGATTATTTCAATGCACTGTGAAAGGAAATGAACAGTATAAATTCATTTAACACTAAAGGCAGGTCTAAATTACATAAGTCGTGGCCTAATGGTTAGAGAGTCAGACTCGTAACCCAAAGGTTGCGGGGTTCGAGTCTCGTACTGGCAGGGATTGTAGGTGGGGGGGGGGGGGAATGTACAGCGCTCTCTTCCACCTTCAATACCACGACTGAGGTACCCTTGAGCAAGGCACTGAACCCCCAACTGCTACCAGGGCGCCGCAGCAAAAATGGCTGCCCACTGCTCCGCGTGTGTGTTCACTGCTGTGTGTGTGCACTTTGGATGGGTTAAATGCAGAGCACTAATTCCTAGTATGGGTCACCATACTTGGCCACATGTCACATAACTTTCACTTTCACTTTTTAAAAGCACGTATATGACAATTCCGTATACAAGTATTATGAAATCACTGATGTAAGTCAATGGATGATTTTCACTGATTTAGATTTTAATCTAAATGTATTCAAAAGTAGGTGTACAAAAAGTTGAATATATAACAAAATTTAAACACTTGTAGTTTGGAAAAAAAACACAATGTTTGAAGAATTATCAAGACGGTGCTACTGCAAAATCCTGTCTTTTTCAAAATATTTTATAATATAAAGGCTTGGTTAAATATGTAGATGATAATGTATAAAATATTGTGATTTTAGCATAAAAAACTAAAAACTGTTCACCTACAAAATGAATGAATACCTATATGATGTAGAACACAGCCTACACATTCTGATAAAAAGTGTTATATGGGTTTTCAGTGACATGAGGGAGAATAACTGATGACAATTTGAATTTGTGTGAACTGTTCCTTTAACGGCATTTTTAACATTCTTTCTTCTTCAGGTAGCTGCATCTCATCTTTCTTTTTTTCCATCAGGTCGCATCTGTTTCCGTGTCTTGGTTGCAGGAGGCTGCAGGGGGCTTCATTTGGTAAAGAAAGATTACATTTAGGATGTTTACTAACATTGTGGACTGTATTTAATATTTATTAGGCCTATTTATCGGTGTGTTTTAAACTTTCATCTGAAAAATAGACATTTTACAGAAAAAAATTTGTTAATGCTGATTTTTGCTCAAGGGCAGGATATCAGCAATCTAAAAATGAGAAATTTGCCTTGCCTGCCAGCATATTTCTCTGGTTATTGTTTAATTTCAATGCATAAGTGTTTGATATTCTAATAGCCTACAATAGCCTTCATAACATGCAATTGAAAACAGGTTTCACTCACTGTTCAGTTTAACTATCGCTGGTTGTTCTGGGTGCCATCGGTGTTATCCATTGTCTCACCACCTGATACCATCAACCACAGGACAGGTCATATTAGACAGGTAGGTTCAAGTTTGTAAACTCATTTAATTAACAGCCACTGTAGATTCTCTTACCCAGGTCTTTGAAGAGGTGTGGTTCATGATCTCTCAGAGCATAATAAAAGTCATGCTTCACTCTGTCTCCTCCAGAATTTAGTGCTTCAAACAGCATTCTCATTTTGCCCTGGCTGGTTTGTTCTGCTCTGATCTCTGAATATTTTTCTTCATGTATCATACCCTTACTTTTTAGTTCATCTGCTATTGCCATC